ACTGTACCACCAGAGCTCCTTAATTAGACAGACTAGTATATTTCAAGTAAGAGACCAAGTCTCTAGCCAGCAAAATTAATTAGTTCAGAAGGAAAGAAACCAAGTTTTATATGGCTGTTACAAAGGAATCCCAGGGTCTTCTAAGCAGCAAAAAATATGTGGGCATGGGTTTAAGCATCTTAAAATCCTCTGAGATGCTCACCACCAACAAGAAGATACCCATGAAAGAGTGAGCTGGGACATGAGATGGGCCAGAGATTTAGGCTGCCCATCAGCCGCCAGACAACTCTCATGCGGTGGTGGCAAAACACAGACCAAACACCCAGCTGAGATTCTATTTGCTGCTGGGAGGTCGAAGTTGCAACCTGTTTCTAACATCCTTGATAAATGCGCCTGTATTCCATGACCACCACCAGGGTGCTGTTTTGGGATTCATGTTCAAAAACATTAGCAGAATAGATTTGAAGTAATTTGGAATTTCATTGATCACCTTGAAAAAATGAGTTTCCTTCTGCTCTTTTCCTTCCATTTTAGGAAAATGAGTTCCCATTTGTGTTCTCTTCTTTCTTCTGGGAAACTTATGTTTAATGCTCAGGTTTTGTCAGAGAATCAGATCTCTCCCTCCATCTATTGTTGTTGTTCTTAGGTGCTGTCAAGTCATCTCTAGTAGCAACCTGATGTACGGCAGAACAAAACATTGACTGGTCCTGTGCCAATCCCACAATCTTTGCTCTACCTGAGCCCATCGCTGCAGCCACTGTGTCAGTCCACCTTGTTGAGGGCCGTCCCCTTTTTTGTTGTCCCTCCACTTTACCAAGCATGACATCCTTCTCCAGGGAATGGGCCATTTTTACAACATGACCAAAGTAGGTGAGACAAAGTCTGGCCAATCTCACTTCCAAGGAGCATTCTAGCTGCACCTCCTCCAGGACAGATGTGTTAGTTCTTTTAGCAGTCCATGGTACTTTCAATATTCTTCGCCAGCCCCACAACTCAAAAGCATAGACTCTTCTTTGGTCTTCCTTCTTCATTGTCCAGCTCTCACATGCATATGAGGTGATTGAAAATACCATGGCTTGTGTCAAGACTATTCACTTCATAGTCTTCAAGGAATCATCCTTGCTCTTCAGCACCTGAAAGA